GAGGCGGGCGAGTCGGGCGGGGCGGCGGCGGCGAGGAGAGGCCGCCCAGCGCGGGGCTCTCGCTGTCTGCCTGCCTGGCTGCCTGCGTGGCGCTGACGTCACGGGGCTGTAACGTGCCCCACATAGGCACACGCGGGGCGGCGAGCGAGCGAGCTCCCACATCCCATCGCCGCTCGCTTCGGCCGGCCTACTGGGCTGTTGCAGGCGGAAGGCCTGCGCATGCGCGAGGTTTTCGCGCCTTCGGGATTCCCTTCACGCCTTCCTCCTCCCGGGTCCTTGAGAGCGCGGGAAGCGGCAGCGCGAGACCGGCGTTGAGCCTGGTAGGTATTGCGCTTGCCAAGGCAGTCATTTGGGAAATGAAAACTTGCAAAGCAAGCAACCAGTTCAATCTGAAGTACGTGTATGCTTAATATCCTGTATCTGAAACCTGTTCTGCCCCCTCCCCCACACTTGGTGCCATTTTCATCTACACATGCAGCAGAGTAAGTTGACCCAGAATAGTACCAATTCAGATGGCAGATGGGAGAATGACAGTGCTGAATGCTTTCCCATGTAGAACAGTTCCTGCAAATAAAAACCTAGCATATTTGGAAGAGGGATGCTAGCCTAACCATTACCTTCTATGCTGTTACTATTTTTTTTATTATTTTTACATAAGTAAAAAGTGACCTTTCCCCATCTGGCATGGTGGTGTGCCTCGAGATTTTTTTCATGAAACAAGTGTGCCTTTGCCCAAAAAAGGTTGGGAAACACTGGTTTAGATGGCTTTCAAAGGGATTTAGACAAAGTCATGAAGGGGAAGAGATCTCTCAATGGCTGTTAGCCTGGCTAGCTCTGCTGAACCTCCTTGTTCAGGCACAGTGTTTTTTCACTCAGTATCAATGTCTGTCAATATCAATGTCTGTGGAGCAACAACAGGAGAGAGGTATTGCCTCCACACCCTTTTGCCTTGGGCTTCCAGGAGTCATCTATCTGCATGTTGTGAGAAAGAGGATGCTCAGCAATGTGGACCTTTGGTTCTACCAAGCATTGCTCTATATCAGGCATCCCCAAACTTGGCCCTCCAGATGTTTTGGGACTACAGTTCCCACCATCCCTGACCACTGGTCGTGTTAGCTAGGAATGATGGGAGTTGTAGTCCCCAAACATCTGGAGGGCCGAGTTTGGGGATGCCAGCTCTATATGGTGTTAATGCTCTTTTAAATAAGATTATTACAGAAAGAAAGTCTAATACTTTGCTTGCTTTTTTTTACTTAATGAGAAACTGCCAACCTTAAACCATAGGCTTAGTGCCAGAGAGCACCAAAGGTTCATTTTATTTTTTACCAAAAAGGAAAAGAAAAAAGTAAATGACAGGGCAATGGGCTAATATGAAGTCTAAATCAATACTTTCCTTTTCTTGAAAGGAAGATTATGGATTGACGTGATCTATCCCAAACTGGGCAAAACAATCCAAGGCCCCAGACTGCCATGTTGGGGGATGAAGTGGAGGTGTACCTACTTCCAGTTCTGCTTGGTTTTGCCAGGCTCTGGTGGCAGGACACCTCCAAGGAATTCTGCACTTGCCAGAAGCATGGCCAGAAACTACAGCTGGTGGTATCCCAGCTGGTGATAGCCACCAGAACTCCAGGAAAAGGGCATTATAGGTTCAGGGAAGGGGTGGAGTTTGGTTGGTGCAGGATTCACTGATGTGATCACTTGTTTCCCTTTCCTTTCATATTTTTATTCAGCATTCTGCCTTTTATTGCACTTTCTAAACAATATGGCTGATTAAGCAATCTATGGCCTTTTAATGTTTTTGTGGGAGGGGTTTATTGGTTTTCGTTTGCTGCAATTATTATGTTATGTATTTTGTCTTTCCTGTTTGTATTTTTTATTCTGTAAACTGCCCTATGAACTTCAGATGAAGGGTGGTATATAAATTTAATAAATAAATTCTGGACCATCCTTGCTTCCATCACACAGCAGGAATGGATTCAGTCTGGACCTCTTTGCTATGCCAGCTTGGGACCAGGCATAACCAAGAATTGTTTTTCCTGCCCTCAGTTTCCACTCTGGCTGGCATGAGTAGCGGAACTCTGGCTGAAGTGCTGGCTACTAAATTCCATTAAGTCCTGCCACTGTTGGCCAAAAGTTTTGGATTGTGGCCTAAGCCATTTAAAATCTCACTGGGAGATGACAAAGCATCTGCCTGGTTTTCTTCATGTAATCCGTGGGACTTTAACATGCAGGAGTTTAACTCTGGCTGGATCATGCCCAACATGTACCAACACAGAATCATAGAAATCCACCATAAAAGCAGGCATCAAGGTGGTGGAAGAAAGAAGAGTGAAAAGTAAGAAACAGGATGCCTGCAGGATGCTGACTTTGGCTCCGCACTCAGATTATGGCGATAATTTCAGACTGTTCCATGTGCTGGCTCTCTCTGTGCCAATTCACAGACTGTGGCCCAGCAGAAAGACTGGGTGATTTTTCTCCAAGCTATTGGGGCCCAGTCTGTGCATCATAATGGCCACAGATTTGAGGGCACCAGGCAGACTTGCTTATTCATTCAAGAGCATCAAATGGCAAAGCTGTTTCTGGGGACAGTATTACTTTTGACTGCAGGTGGGCTGTTCTCTTTCTCTTGCCCTGCACCTCACAAAATGCCACCTTGAACACATGGATAAGAATTCTGCCTAGCCTTCTTCCTCACATTTGTTTTCCTGTGTTCATTCAGGGAGGCTTTTTGTGTCTGATGAGCAATCATTCAAAGATGCCATTTGATTCTGATGGATCTATAAGTGTGGCCACATAGCAGTTGCCCCATGAGTAGCTACAGTGAATGCAGTAGTTTGATATATGGGTAACTCCTGCAGCATGGTATGTTTCCAGGCCATCACTGCTTCCAAAAATGTCTCCATGCATAGAAGAACTGTTGTGTTGTCTGTTACATGGGACGTCCTTGCGGAGAGGGGTGCTAAATTCAGGAATTGTCCAAAAGAACTGTCCTAATCTTCACTCATCATTGTAAATTCTAAAACCAGGGATAATGGCCACATTCAGGATCTGAGTGAATGACCAGTTCAGCACTCAGAGATGGACAGCTCCTTTCTGAATTACACCACAATTTCCTAAATGAAATCTCTCTAGAGTTTGGAACTGAAAACCAGATGCTGTTAACAGGCAAAGCAAGTACAGTCCTTGATGAGGCTGCCATAATCTAGTTTTATTTCTCAATAGTTAATACTTCTGTTCCAGGAATTTCTGAAATTATATCTACTATTTCATTAGTAACACTGGCAGAAAACCTTTGAGGAAACGCTCACGGATTTTCTTTAAAACTGACTGGTAAGAAATGATCCCATGATCCATATCTTGAATATTATTTTTATTAGAAAATGAGCTGTAAAAATGGTGTGTTTGCATGATTATCTGCAAAGAATAAAAACAATGTGAATGCATTTAAAGAGAAGAATTCAAAAGTGCATTAAAAATTTTTTAAAAAGAAAAATTGAAATAAATCAGAGTGGTTTTTATTTCCACCTAGATGTGCAAGAAGACTGCAGAAGTAGAAGAGTCATTACAAAAAATAAAATAAAAAATGAAATAAATGTTTTGGCCTTTGTGAAGATCGCTGTAATTAAAAGAACAATGACTTTCTGCAGAGCCAGACATACAACTGTGAAGCTGCCGTGGTGCTTCTTAGAAACTCTTTTGTCATTTAGGCCTCAAACTTAATGCATTTGAAATTGGGTACCAACTTCTCTGCTTACCAGCTGGAAGAATGGAGGAGCAGGCTGGTGGGGAGGGGGTCGAAATGGGGGAAAGAGAGGCAAGATTGTTCCTTATTTCTTTGTGGACAAGAAAACCGCCCTGTGCAGATGGGGAGACTTTCCTTAATGCCTCAGACGGCAATTAAGAACGCTTTGCCAAGAAGAAATAGCCCCGCATTAATATTGTATATGGAACAGCTGAAGGGCTGGAGTACATTCTGCCCAGCTCAGGCCCCTAGCAGATGGAACAACAAGACAGAAGGGAGGGGAGAGGAAGGAGGGGGGGGAGAACCCATTTAATAACCCCCTTCTCTGAGATGTATACAATCACTCCCTTGGAGTAAAAAGTTCTTTGTCTACAAGAAATTTACAGTTGGAAGCTGATCTTTTTAATCTGATGATTTCCCTCCTCCCAAAAGCTGCCAACTTTTTTTTTAAAAAAATTCCTTTTCAAATGATCTGCCTGGAAAACCCCAAAGCTTCTCCTGTGCTGTTGATTGCACAGGCAATCCTTCCCCATTCAAAAACCCACCGATCCTTATACACATTGTTTTAACTAGCGCTGAACAGGTTTCTTCCTGTTGAACTTTCAACAAGTTTACAATGGAAGGGTTTCACATTCTGGCACTACAAGAAAGGAAGGAGGAGGAAATAAGGAAACAAAGAAATCACCAAGAAAAACATTAGTTTGCCACCTTGATTTTACATAAATAACATTTGCAGAACAGAACGTAAAGCCAAAATTAAGAGTAAAGATTCAGTCACTGGAGGCTGCAATGAAAACTGCATTTAGCTTCCTAGTTCCTTCCCTCTTTTTCAAAATTCTTTTACAAGGTAAGAATCTTCATTTTGTAGATGCAGTTCATTATTTACTTCCTCCTCCACCAGTCACAAAACATGATGGGTACAGTTTTGAGTTTGCAGGCTGCAGTTCAGATCATGTCAAAACTTAAGCACCATTCCACCTCCCCACCCCGCCGAGAAAACAAACCCAGGTTCTGATTTCTAATTTGGGCTTGATCTCCTTGGCTAATTGACATCTTGTTGATCTACACACAGATTAATCCCCACGCCCAGCTGAAAGACACAAAGCAAGTCCCAGAAGTTGCTGTGCGGGGAGCAACTTGCGCAGGGCAAGGCAACAGATCCGTCAGTGAACGGCAGCAACGCTACAGGCAAAGCAAACAATAAACAGAAGAAGCCCAGAAAAAGTTAAAGAGATATCTTTGTTTGTTTAACACGCACCTAGGAATGTTCCACACAGCTTCATTCTTGCTTTCTTTTTTTTCCTGAGCACTATTTCCCTTGGAACAACAAGCATGAAAGCCAAGCACAACTGTTCAAGTCACACGCGCGGATACTTTCATTTCAAAAAAAGTTACAGCCCAGAGCAAAAACTTATGCATCCCGGAGGGCCTCCGAGGAAGGGAGGCCAGCCAATGGGAGCCTCCCAAGCTGCTAATTGCAAATCAAGGCAGCCAACAAAGCAGCCAATCGGGGGCCGGGCCGTTCCTGGGTGCACGCAGCTATTGAGACGGGAGACAATAGAACTGAGCTGAATGAAACTGAATGGGGAAGCAGACGCGGCTGCATGTTGATAGCAGCAGTGGCTCTCCGCAAACTCCTCTGCAAAGCGAAGGGCTGTCGCTCAGTGGCAGAGCATCTGTTCTGCATGCAGAACGGCCCAAGTGGAGTCTTTGGTTCCTGCAGGTAGGGCTGGGGATGTCCCCGCCTGAATCCCCGGACAGCTGCTGCCAATCAGTGCAGACAGGCTAGATGGATCAGTGGTACAAGGCTTGGCACAGGGTTATACAGTGGTACCTCGGGTTACATACGCTTCAGGTTACATACACTTCAGGTTACACACTCCACTAAGCCAGAAATAGTGCTTCAGGTTAAGAACTTTGCTCCAGGATAAGAACAGAAATCGGGCTCCAGCGGCGCGGCAGCAGCAGGAGGCCCCATTAGCTAAAGTGGTGCTTCAGGTTAAGAACAGTTTCAGGTTAAGTACGGACCTCCGGAATGAATTAAGTACTTAACCCGAGGTACCACTGTATGCTCCAGAAAGCACTTAAGCTGGTATTTGCGTGGTCATGACAGCAATCTCAGTCGATGTTGATGCTGCAAGCTGTAGTGCAAGCTACGTAAGCAGTTATATTCATATTTAAAATCGAATACAAGCATGCATACAGCCATGGTTGCAATTAAAATTGCTGGCGATCTTCACCTGAAATCAGAAGAGTTTTGTATACTCCTGATTAGGCAGAAGCTACAGTTCAGATTTGGAGGGAAGAGAGAAATATCATGAAATAGTCCCCGCCCCCCCGCCCCCAGTTTGTGTTGCCACAGTTTGGGTTTTAATTTTTGTATGCCTCTCAAGACCCAGCTGATCTTGTCAGCAAAATGAAAAAACAACCAACCACTGGTTTTGTATTCAACATAGCACTAAAGTGCTGATTCTGTTGGCACAAAGATTTCTCCTTTTACAGTGGAACACTCTCCCCTTTTCTGTCTCCATCCACCCCCTATATCTGTTTAGGGTTGGCAGGGAGGTTGGTACAGTGCATCTCCACCCCCATCATCCAGCTGAGACACTGGGGTCCTGCTCTGAGGGCCTTGAGGCAGTTCCCTCAGTATGAGAAGTGAAGTTACAGGAAACCAACAACAAACAAACCTATGGTCACATAAAGCATACTCAGAGCAGCTACTACTATGCCATAAGATCCACTGTCCTGTAATATCACACATGAGCTTTAACTACTGATGAAGCCCAGGACGGTGAAACAAGGCCAATATTCCGGAAATCCTTGTCTTAGACTCTGAAAGGATTCTGTGGAACTGTAACAAACTTTCATGTGGATTGTTTGGACCTTATGAACAGACAGGTGGAGTAGACACTATTACATGGATGGACTTTATGCATGAACTGACTACAGAATGATCTGATCCACTGAGTCTTCTGCTTTGTTCGTTTGTTGAACTTTATGAGTTACTTCCATTGAAATTTATGATTTGATACATGAATAGAATACCTTATTTATCTAAGAACACAGCCGGTTACGTCTTGTGCCTTTATTAAGTTATAGGGAACCAGGCAGAGGGCCTTCTCGGCAGTGGTGCCCTCCCTGTGGAATGCTCTTCCATTGGATGTCAAGGACAGAAAGAAATACACAACTGTTAGAAGACATCTGAAGGCAGCCCTGTATCAGGAAGTTGTTAATGTTTGGTGTTTTGCTGTGTTTTTATTATGTTGGAAGTCACCAAGATAGACTGGGGAAACCCAGTCAGATGGGCAGGGAATCACCACCACCACCATCATCACAATCATCATCATCTAGTGCTCCCCCTGGTGCCCTGCCCTCCCCTCCCCACCATCTCACTCTTCCTCTTTCCAGAAAGGAGAAGCAACACACCTGAAGGAGGGCAGGTTAGCACCACTCCATCTACTACTGCAAGGTGAGACAAAAAGTTTGAGCTGGGTCTGTTTAAAACACACCACCACCGGAGGTTAAAACAAATTTAAGGCACTGCAAGATAGAAGCCTTTGCTGCTGCCTTAAAACGATCAAAGAGTCCTGCTAGCACATCTCTCTACCAGGTGCACCTCTAAAGGGAGGTTCATTGTCTCTTGGGACCTGGTTTTAGGGGTGTGGGGACTTCAAGCAGCAACAAGAAACTTAAATCTGTGCTTGCAAAGTGCAGACATCAGAGCTGGTCCTGCCATTAGGCAGAGTGAGGCAGCTTCCTCAGATGGCAGAAGATTGGAAGCACCACCAAGGTTCAGGAGGGCAGAGCTGTAGCTGCCACAGAGCCTGTGGGGCACCCACTAAGACAGTCTGTTTCCCTCAAGCACAAGAAAAGACACTGTCCAATTGCCAGTGATTTAGCCCTCATAATATCAGGTAGTTCCACTTGGGTGTTACATGCAGATGTTGAGATGGCAATGGGAGGTTACAGTATAAAAAGGTCCTTGAGAAGTCCACATTTCACGAAGGCCAAAGAACCATGAAGACCATTCACAGCAGTGCAAGTAATAATGCCCCACCATACAGCATGCAGATGTTCTGGGTTTACTAGTCATTCGGAGACTCTCAAATGACGCATTTCACCCCCTGTGTTGGCCAGGCTCCAAATGTTTTTGTACTGTAATGATAACTGCAAACCTTGAAGCATCTTCCATTTTGGGATGATGGATAACCCGAATGCAGCCAGTGCCCATTTCCACTGCCCATGTTGAAGGGAGACTCTGTACCATCTAGTCCTCGTCTCAGATAGCAAAATGTCTTAGGCTGGCCCTTGCAAACTCCAGCTACTAGTACAACAATAAATCGAGTCCCGGGAGTGAAAAATATATAATATTTTCTGTGACTTTCCTCCTGACTGCTGAGTACTCAGGGCGGGGGGAGTGAAGGGTCTTATAATAAATCATTCTCTTAGGAGTGAATTATTATAAGAGTTGTACCTTAACTCATAGGCTGCAATCAATGTTTGTGAATAATAGCCACACATGTTTAGCACTCAAATCTTTTATTATTTTTGTATGCTGCAGGGGTGGGGCAGCCACTTTTGGGGGGGCGTCTGGGTTCAGAAGGGACGCGGGTGGCACTGTGGGTTAAACCACAGAGCCTATGGCTTGCCGATCAGAAAGTCGGTGGTTTGAATCCCCGCGATGGGGTGAGCTCCCGTTGCCCAGTCCCTGTTCCTGCCCACCTAGCAGTTCGAAAGCACGTCAAAGTGCAAGTAGATAAATAGGTACCGCTCCGGTGGGAAGGTAAGCGGCGTTTCCGTGTGCTGCTCTGGTTTGCCAGAAGCGGCTTAGTCATGCTGGCCACATGACCCGGAACCTGTACGCCGGCTCCCACGGCCAACCAAACGAGATGAGTGCCGCAACCCCAGAGTCGGCCACGACTGGACCTAATAGTCAGGGGTCCCTTTACCTTTACCTGGGTTCAGAACTAGCCAGACCTCTGCAGGGGCTGCTAACCTGGCAATCACCTGATGGTATATGATGAGTCCAATCCCTGCTGAAAGCAGTGTAGTTTGCAGAGCAGAGGTTTTGCATACAGGAAGTCCATGGGCCAATCCCTAGCTTCTCCCCATTTTTTTTTTTTACTTTAGGTAGGCAGGCAAGCAAGACAGCTGCTTGAGACCTTGAAGACCTCTTGTCACCCAAAACAGCCAGTACAAGCCATGGGCAACCCAATGGACAGGCTCTGAACATTGCAACTCTACACTATCCCTGAAGTATCTCGAAAGTTCCCTAGCAACAGTTCAGCTCAGTCCAGCCCTCTTGCTGAATATGGCCTTCGTGTTTTGCATCACAAGGCTTTGTTTACAGTGGAAGGGGCATCTATTGTGGCCACCAACTAAAAAGCAGAGGGCAGCTTTCTCTCCTGAAGGACAGATGGCAACACTCCAACTTGGGAGGGGGGGGGGAGAAAGAATTGTCTCTGGCTCAGAAAAGGAGTTCCTGCTAGCAAGGTGGCACTACAGTCTAGTAATGTATTTATTTAGGGGAAAGTTAGGGTCATTCATCAGGTCAGGAGAAGACTTTTGACTGCAGTGACTTTTAGATTGAGGGCTTGTGTCACACCAGTGACCCAGAGTTTGATGCTGCAAAGAAGAAAGGTTTGGTGGTGGAAGAAGAAGAAGAAGAGATATATCTCTTCCTTTTGACCATCCTTTGGCTTAGGGGTCCAGCTTGTCTTGGGGGCAGAGAGATCACGTTACACAAAAGCCCATTTGTGATCCTGTGGGCTCTGGAACACAAATCCTGCGTACAAGGAAGGGAACTGGCTTCTGTCCTTGCGGAGCAAAATGTGTCGGAGGCCCACCCACACCCCCTGTGTAATTTCGGTGGGAGGGTGAATGCAAACCGAAGGATAAAAATCTGCAGTTCGAGGGACAGGTGGTGACTGTAATCAGGGCCAGACACAAAGCTGATATTAACTGAAGGGGAATTTATTCCAGCAGGCCTTGGCTATGCATTTTCTTTGGTTGGAGTTTGGAAGAAAGGTCAGCCCCCACCCCTCCAGAAAAAAAAGGAGGGTCAAGAGGCTAATTCACTCTTTTTGTACACAAGCCTTCCACTGAGCTCTTTGTCGAATGCATTCTCAACTTCTTAATCCTGATATGTTTTTGAAAGTAGGAGGTTTAGGAAGAAAACAGCTTTGCTGATGTTGTTTCTTAAATCTTTAAGTGCGCTTTCACTCCCCCTCTCCCACACATATTCATATCATCCTCTATTAGCAAAGGGTGGGGAAAGTTGAACGAAAATCCTTGAATGACACAATTAGGATTACGTTTGGTATCAGTGCTGGAGCTGCCGCGATGCCAGACGGGTGCGAGTAAGTGGCAGGCCTGTCGATGGCAGGAAGATGTTGAGCCATT